CTGGCCCCCATTGGCCACGATTGGGACTGGGCGAGAAGGTTGCGATCACTGGCCAGGTCGAGGGACCTCACCTGTGCACGAATTCGTGCACTGGGCCTCTAGTTTATAATAAAGTCCTCAATAAATCAAAATCAAAACTGAATTTAAAAAACATCCAGACAGAGAACTCAAGCATCTGCTGGTGGTTACATCCTAAAGGAACCATCTTACCTGCAGCCCCAGAAATATGCACAGGTACCAGGGAGGGACATCTTCTATGGTGTAAATCATGTCCGATCTCTGGGGGTCTAGACTGCCAGTGCTATCCAACGTCTCGGCCAGAGAGCTCTGTAAGCAAGAGAGACAAAGGAGTTGTTTAATAAAAACAAGGACTGCCCTAGTTAGTTTGGCTCAGCGGTATCTCTCTCACATGGATGTTTCCCTCTGCCTCTCTCCCTCCCTTCCACTCTCAATAACTAACTAACTAAATAAATAAATAAATGTAAGGAGTAACGTTAGCTCAGTTTAGTACAGGCCCACTACTAAAACACAATTTGATAAAGTGGCTGCCACTTCCCCATAAAATTAAGCCTTGGCTACCTTTGACACAATACTCAAACACACTGGCTCAGTGGGACACCCCATCTTCAGACTTTGGGGATTTGGTATCCATTGCCATCTTCTCAACCCCTAGGCAGTGGTTCTCAACCTGTGGGTCGCGACCCTTTCACAGGGGTCGCCTAAGACCATCGGAAAACACATATATAATTACATATTGTTTTTGTGATTAATCACTCTGCTTTAATTATGTTCAATTTGTAACAATGAAATTGGGGGTCACCACAACATGAGGAACTGTATTAAAGGGTCGCGGCATTAGGAAGGTTGAGAACCACTGCCCTAGAGCATTCAGTTTGCTCAGAGCTTCTCCCCAGCCTAGAGACCACCTGCGTGGAGATGATGCTCCCAGGATGGGACCAAAAAGTAATACCTGGACATGAGCAGTGGTGACCAGAATGAAGAAATAATATGAAATGCTAACCACTTCAAACAGAGAGCATTAATCTGTTGCTCCCGCCCTCCCCCATCCCTGCAAAGAGAATTTTTTGTACCTAAAAATAAAGTCCTACAACCTTGTACCAAAACACTGCTACTCAGACACAATGGTGAGTGAAAAGAACGAAATTCAGAAGTGTACAGATAAGTGACTCATACTTTACTTAAAATAACAGACCAAAAATGAATTTCTAGTTCAGGGGGCAATTTTCTTTTTCTTCTTCCCACCACTACTAAAGATTTTTTTTTAATATTAAGTGTTGCATGCTTTTTGAGACAAAATCTTCACAAAGACCAGACACTTTAGGTTATAGTCTCATTCACCAAGTTTCAACTGGTGTGCCACAAGAATTTTTAAAACATGCAATATCTGACTATTAGGGGCACTGACCTCTTTTCCCTTAGATTGTCAAATAAAAAAAAAATGACAACAGCCAACACAACAAGAGCCATCCGGTGTAAATGAATCAAAATTATACCTATTTTTTTTGTCACACTGGCAAAATATATACTTTTTGGTATGGTGCTGAATTTTAGTAATTAGTTTATGTGTGCCATGAGATGAAAAAGTTTGAAAACCACTGGTCTAGGTCATAGTCTAGACATTCCCAGTCAGTATCGACATCACTTCTTTTTCTTTTCAATTGTATTTATTGGGTGACATCTATATCTAAAAGCCTAAGCAACCAAACAACCAAATGACCAGTCACTATGACATGTACTGACCACCAGGAGGCAGGCTCTCAATGCAGGAGCTGCCCCCTGGTGGTCAGTGTGCTCCCACAGCGGGAGCACCGCTCAGCAGGTGCCAGATGCCAGGCTCACGGCTGGTGAGCGCAGCTGCGGCTGCAGCTGCATGAGCCTCTCCCACCTCTGCTGCAGTGCTACCAAGAGGCAGCTGCGGCAGGTGCAGCAGGACCGGGATGAGCGGGAGCGGCGCAGTGCCCAGCTCGGGCTCCTCCCCGACCACCTGCGCTGTGCACTACTGCATCCCTCTGGGGATGTCAGATTGCCGGTTTAGGCCAATCCCTGAAAGCAATCGGGACGAAACTGGCAGTCCAACATCTCCCAAGGGGTCCCAGATTGGGAGAGGGTGCAGGCCAGGCTGAGGAACCCCACGAGTGCACAAATCCGTGCACTGGACCTCTAGTTGGCTAATAAAATTATATAGGTTTCAGATACACAATTCTGTAATCCATCATCTGTATATTGTATTGTGTGTTCATCATTCCAAGTCAAGTCAGCATCACTTCTGAAGTCATCCAGCATCTGAGCCAAACAGAAAACTCAGAACTGCTCTGATTCCTAAAACCCAATGAACAATTTCTTGGGACCTGAGATGTGCATTTTTTTTAAAAAATCTTTTATGCCAAAACCGGTTTGGCTCAGTGGATAGAGCATCGGCCTGCGGACTGAAAGGTCCCAGGTTCGATTCTGGTCAAGGGCATGTACCTGGGTTGCGGGCACATCCCCAGTAGGAGATGTGCAGGAGGCAGCTGATCGATGTCTCTCTCTCATCGATGTTTCTAACTCTCTATCTCTCTCCCTTCCTCTCTGTAAAAAAATCAATAAAATATATTTAAAAAAAAAAAACATAAAAAATCTTTTATAACCTAACAAACAGAGTGTCTACCAGGAGACAAAACATTCTGACCCTTGACCACATCTAACCCATAGAAAGATGGTGACTCCATGTATTATTACTCAATTTTCCATGCACAGGACAACAGGGACTTAGAGGACAAATACCCTTGCACAAAAGAAGTGATGCAATTCAGGCTTACCTTCTGAACCCTAAAGGTAAATCCCGTGTAAGTCTATATTTGATCTAATCCAAATGTGACTTGAATATGACCTTCCCGAGAGAACTTTTTCTCCATTCAAAAAATGGATAGTGGGAGAGTTCACTGTTGAATGGGTAAAATGGGATATGCATGTCTTTTAAACATTTGTTGGTAGAGAGAGTACGCATGTGTGAGGAATTTAATACGTAGTGATATGCAGTGAAGAATTAACTTAGCAGGTGTGGGATGTCCAAACCCTGCATGTCAGGGAAAGGTTTGGCCCTTCTGGCACCTGGGAGGTAATACCTACGCTCTTGGGACATCCTGCTTCTTAAGAATGTATTTGTTGCCGAAACCGGTTTGGCTCAGTGGATAGAGCGTCGGCCTGCGGACTGAAAGGTCCCTGGTTCGATTCCGGTCAAGGGCATGTGCCTGGGTTGCGGACACATCCCCAGTAGGAGATGTGCAGGAGGCAGCTGATCGATGTTTCTCTCTCATCAATGTTTCTAACTCTCTCTCTCTCCCTTCCTCTCTGTAAGAAATCAATAAAATATATTAAAAAAAAAAAAAGAATGTATTTGTTTACCTGTAGCCTTAGACTGCCCCAAATAGTTTATGCTAATGATGTGATCCATGGGGGGCGGGCCTTGGGCTACGTGGTCTCAGTCTGACCTCTGAAGGAGCTGGACATTAAGGTCAGCCATGCCTACATGACTGCTCCCCAATAAAAGCCTGGACACCAAGACTCCAGTGAGCATCCCAGGTTGGCACACTCCTTGAGAACTGCCACACATTGTTTCTGGGAAAATTAGGCAGTGCCCACCCGACTCCATGGGAAGAGGACAATTGAAAGCTTGAGCTGGTGTCTCCTGGATCCTTCCCTACGTGCCTTTTCCATGGATTTTAATCGGTATCCTCTCTCTGAAATAAGCTGTAACCAGGAGTGCAACCGCTTCTCTGAATTCAGCAAATCACTGAACCTGATTGGAGAACCCCCAACTCAGGTCTTGGGAATCACTACACTCAGTTGACCATTTTGCTAACATGATGTGACTGTACAATTCAACACCATCACATTATCTACATCTCCAAGTGGGGGGTGTTGTTGCTCACAAAGTAATAAAGAGAGATATCTGAAAGTACAGTAACACTACAATGTCCCTTAGTACAACTAGTTTTAACTATTGTTTTAATGCACAGAAATGAAGAGACTATATCTGTCCTCTTTCAGGCCTGGCAGACTAAGATTAAGACATGTGTACGTACAAATACACAAACACACACACACACACTCTCTCACTCACACTCAATCTTTCTTAGTAATGAAGGTGCTTCTATAACACAGAAATGGAACTAATGTAAATGTCTACAAATAGTATTAAGATGACACTGAGTAGGGAACTGTGTGGTCAAGGGGATCAGTTAATTCTGTCACATAAACGCTGCTGCCCTCATTGAGACAGGCGTGTGCTCGGTCATTAGAAGCTATGGTACCAGAGTCAGTATCACTGCGTTAACAATACAAATCACTGCAAAAACCTCAATAACAATAACTTTCAAGAGCAAGGTTTCTTTAAAAGACGACTGCATTAATAGTTTAATAATGTCATTTGGGAGACTTTTCTATCTTCTTCCATGGTCTGAAATAATCAGCGAGCAAGGAAATTGCCTGTCCTTCAAAGATTAATGAACTCAGAACTCAGTTCTCTGGTTGGAGCCTTCTTAAGATCACTAATAACCTTTCCAATCTCTTCAATGGTTATTTAGCTAGTCCAGCACTTTGGGGTCAATTGCGGTCTCTTTTTCTCTAGGAAATCATTTCCTCCAGCAAACCCTTTCTGTAAGAGGCTATACAGTATATATTATAGGTTTTGTGGGTCATCAAGGCTCTGTCACAACTGCTCGACTCTGCCACTGTCATGCAGAAGAGCCTTAGACAATATGTATCGAGTGAGTATGGCTGTATTCCAATGAAACTATCAAAACAGGTGTTGGGCAGATGTAGCTTGCATGGGCTATGGCTTGCCAACCCTGCTATAGAGTTTCAAACTGATTATATCATAATGTCATAGTTAATATTCTCACAACACTACATTTTTCTTATATCTCCTTTCACATTGCTAGTGTGTATT